TATATATATATATATATATATATATATACATATATACACTGTATATACATGGACAGAGAGCTTAAATCGTGAAAAAAGTTAATGCTAGTTCCGACAGAATGCACGGTGCATCTCAGTTTGTTGTGCATGTGGCTGCGAAGCCCCAGACCGGTCAGGGTGCCCATGCTGACCCGTGTCCATCACTAAAAGCACCTACGGTACAATGGCCACATCACATGAGCATCAGAACTGAACCAAGGAGCAATGGAAAAAGGTAGCATGGTCTGATGAATCCAATTTTCTTTTACATCATGTGGATGGGCGGGTGCATGTGTGTCGCTTACCTGGGGAAGAGATTGCACCAGGATTAAGAAGGCAAGCTGGCGGAGGGGCAGTGTGATGCTTTGGGCGATGTTCTGCTGAGGAACCATGGCTCCTGCTGTTCATGTGGATGTTACTTTGACAAATACCACCTACATAAACATTGTTGTTGAACAAGTACACCCCTTCATGGAAACGGTATTGCCTGATGGTAGTGGCCTCTTTCAGCAGGATAATGCATCCTGCCACACTGCAAAAATGGTTTAAGAATTGTTTGAGGAACACAACAGGTTTGAGGTGTTGGCTTTGCCTACAAACTCCCCAGACCTCAATCCAATCGAGGATCTGTGGGATGTGTTGGAAAAACCAGTCTGATCCATGAAGGCCTCACCTCGCAACTTACAGAAGTTAAAGGATCTTCTACTAACCGCTTGGTTCCAAATACCACAGCATACCTTCAGAGGTTAATGGGAGTCCATGCCTCGATGGGTCACTGCTGTTCTGATGGCAAAAGGGGACCTACTCAATATTAGGCGGGTGGTCATAATGTTATGGCTTATCGGAAAATTACAGTTTAAAAATTTAAAAACTTGAAAACTTCTTCAAAGTGGAACCCCAGGCAGAGGTAGAAAACAATGTCAAAATCAGCGATTAGGCAAATATTATTTCATACTCTACACAGTTGAAATATGTGGAAATCCATACATTTATTGTTTTACCTGTCACAGGATTTGTAATTCTGTACATATAATCTTATGATTTGCACACATTTTCCACACTACACAATCAGACAGGTGACTTGTCCTTTTTCCAACTGAAGATGACCTCTATAAAAGGCACACATTAATGCAGATCTGTATTCTTTAATACATCACTACTTAAAATTTTTTATGCAAGCAGTACCTTATTTTGACTTGGTATCAGCTTCTTGCAACCTCTGTACAGCAGAGTTCAGATAGAGAGAGGGAGAGAGAGAGAGAGAGAGAGAGAGAAGCACAAAATCAAATGTGCCTCAGTACTCAAGTGCTAACAAGGAACATGCTAGGAACATAATAGGAGCAGAGAACAAGAGTGGCAGGTGGGCTTCATGGTGTGCTGCTTCTCCTTGCACTGTCCAGTCTTTGGCAGTGGGAGGAACAAGACCTGGATGTGTGACTTTAAGCGGAAGTTAAGTATCAGGCATAAAAAAAGTTATAAAAACAGGCCCCCCAGGAGCTTTTAGCCATGATGTGCTAGTATGCAGGCTTACCCACCAACGAGATCCTCTCCCGTGCTGCGCCCGTCCCTAGCCAGCACTTTCTTCTTCAGCTTAGTCTTCTTATGGGTTTTGCGTCTTCAGCCAATCTGGGGTGACTTCTGGCTTCCTCAGAGGTGCCTACAGAAATTGATAAGTCTGAGGAGTCAGCAACAGCATTCAAAAACTACAAAGACAGAAAAAAATGTAAAAGAGCAATCAATGATGCAAAAATAGAAGAACAGATAGCAACAGAAAGCAAACAGAACCCCAAGAAATTCTTTAAATAAATAAATAGCAAAAGAGTACGGGCAGAACATGTAGGCACAATAATAGACAAAGACAATTATTTTCTTCTGTTTTTACAGATGAGATGGACATGGGTAACAACCAGGGCACCAGCTGGAGGACCAATAATAAGTTTTGACTTATCTCAATGGGTGTCAGAGAGCAGAGTAATACAGAGGCTAGAAAGATTAAATATACACAAATCCCCTGGACCTGATGGGTTACATCCATGGGTACTCAAGGAACTTGGCCAGGTCATAGGCAGACCACTGTACATAATCTGTATGGACACTCTAATGGCTGGTACGGTACCGGATGATTGGCAGAGAGCATATGTGGTACCAATATACAAAAAGGAGAAAAGAAGTTCACCCGGTAACTATAGACCAGTCAGATTAACGCCAATAGTGTGCAAAATATTTGGTAATACAAGTAGAAACTAACATGGCTTCATGAAGGACCGTTCTTGTCAGACCAATCTATTAACTTTTTATGAGGAGATCAGTATTCATTTAGACAGAGGATTACCAATAGATGTGGTGTATATGGACTTAGGTTCGATAGCGTTCCATATAGTACCCCACAAACATTTGTTTCAGAAACTTAGGTCTATCGGTTTGGAGAAAATTGTATGTACATGGGTGGAAAACTGGCTGCAAGAATGTACCCAGAGGGTAGTAATAAATGGTTCTTCCTCTAATAGGGCAAAAGTCTGGAGTGGGGTGCTCCAGGGGTCAGTCCTGGGACCAATCTTGTTTATCCTATTAATCAACAACATAGAGATTGGGATAGATAGTTTGATTTCCATTTTTGCCCGAGATACTAAACTTTGTAGGGCAGTAAATTCCAAAATGGAGATAACTACACTTCAAAAAGACCTGGATACAATTGAAGCATGGGCTACCGATTGGCAAATGCGATTTATCGTTGAAAAATGCAAGTTAAAGCACATGGGTGCAAAGAAGAGTGTGCAAACTACTACCTGGGGGGGGGCTGAGGTTGCTCAATAGATCGCAGATTTGGCAATAGCATGCAATGAATGCCAAGCTGTGGTCAACAAAGCAGACAGTATACTGTCCTGCGTTAAAAGAGGGATTGTTGCGAGGGATAAATTAATAACACTACCACTTTTTGAAATCACTGGTTCGGCCTTATCTTGAGTATGTAATGCAATTTTGGTCGCCAACTCTCAGGAAAGACGTCTTAGAGCTTGAGAGAGTTCAAAGAAGGGCAGCAAACTTAATTAAAGGGATTGAAGGCGTGAGCTATGAAGACTGCCTCCAACAATTAAACTTATTCTCCTTAGAACAGAGGTGCTTAAGAGGAGACTTTATTGCAGTCTTCAAAATCATCAATGGGGACAACAATATTCAAAAAAGTTGTTTTCACCGAGAACAGTACTGAGAACATGGGGCACAACAAGAGGTTAGAAGAGAGGGGGGTTCAATCTTAGAACACGTAAGGTTTTTTTTTTACTGTGCAAGTAGTAAACATTTGGAATTCCCTTCCACAGGCAGTGGTATCCGCTGATAGCTTAGAGAAGTTCAAGAAACTTCTAGATGAGTTCCATCAGTGACTGAATATACAAGGATATGGGAGGTATTAAATCCATATAGATAAGGATATCTATAAATATATATACATACACACACACACACACACACATAGGTTCAACTAGATGGACCTTGGTCTTTATTGAACCTCACCTATTATGTTACTATGTTACACAGTGTTTTGGAGCGGATCCGCGCGGCCGGGATATCGCAACTTTCGGGGTGACGATCCAGTGACGGTAGTGCGACCTTCATCGTCGGGCTGCATAAAAAAAATCGAAAAATCTCGCAAAATCCGCAGAAAAAGGGTCATGTAGAAGCGTCTTGTGACCGCGACGAGCGACTGGCGACATGTAGCTGTACATGAAGACAGCTCCATTGAAACGTAATGGCCGGGCGACTTCTCGCGATTTCGCGCAAAAAATGCGCAATATCGTAGCGGAAATCGCGCAGCAATCCGCTCAGTGTGAATGGGGCCTTATGCTGCCCAGGTTGTGGTTCCTGATGTGATTGTGGGCCTCTAATGTGAAGAGGCTTCTAATGTGGAAGGAGCAGACTCTGATGTGATGGGGGAACCCTAATTTTTATTTGTTGTTTTTCTATTGGGTCCCCCTTAAAATCCATACCAGACCCCTATGTGGGATAAAGGTCTGGTATGGATTTAGAAAGGGCCATTTTAAAAATGGGGGTTCCTTGAGACTTTGCATACATTTAAAGGGTGCCATGATTTAAAAAAGTTTAAGAAACACTGGTGTAACCTACAGACTAAAGACTCATCTCTAAAGACGTAACTGAATTGTAATGCGTCTTTATGGGACACAGCAGGCAACAAGGGGCCAAGACCTCGCAGAGGCCTGTGTAAATGCAGCCTAAACCAGAAATTCAGATCATCTTTTTTATTTCCAGTCCTCAACGGTTGGAAATAGTGTTCTCATTGTCTAGAGGTTACATAACAGAAATAAGTAATAAGAGGAGTACAGTAGATTACGCCTGCCTGTCTTCTCAGACTGTACGAGACGTCTGGAGATGTGCTTATAACAGGCATTCCTCTTGTACAGATGAGTAATCAGTTCCTCTGTCACTTCCCTGAGCTGGATGGAAAATACATTCCTTTTTTTGTATTACATGCAGACTCTTTCCTCTTGAGGGATATTAGCTTGCCATCTAGTGTCCATAAACTGCACTGGTTGTTTAGGGAAATGTAGTGGGCGGCAGGAATTTGGAAATCGTCATCATTCCCAAAGCTGCCCAATTCAGGACCGTCCACCAATAGGATCCCACTGGATGGAGCCGTGTTCTATATATGAGGAGTCTGTAGACTCAGTTAAGAACATCTCAGGCTCTTAGCCCAGCAAGACAGAAGGTATCATTATTGTGCTTCAAGACTGAGACATCATGTTCTGCAGAAGGAACCTTCTCCAAGCCCTCTGCACCCTCTTCTTGGTTCATAAAGTAAGTGTTACCTAAATTTTATTGCCTTTAGAATTAAATTCTTAATCCTGAAAACTCAAGACCCCTTTGGCTCTGAGGATTCTGTATACCTTTAGGATATGCATGATATTTGCAGGATTATTTATTAGACAAATTCCAAAAGTCAGATTAATGCATCAAACAAAAAATGGTAGAATACAATACAATGTTACCTTTGCTGAATGGAGATACGCTGATGAAAATTATTATTTTATTGGATATATTAGATATTTATCTTCTTTTTTATTGAATTTAACTATAATATGATTATTGTAGGGTGGTTAAAGTGTATGGAAACCTAAAATGTGTCACTGTATACAATTTTCTCAAGCAATTTTTTGTTTTGTGTGAATCTGTTACAAAGTTTCTTACCTGGAAATCCTGCCAGTAAGAACACTTCCTATTGCAGGCTGACAACAATGAGCCGCTGCCTTGCAATGAACAGCAATGTTGCCAGCCTGGTGTGCGCGGCTTTAATTGGCCATTGGGCTGCCTGTCAGGTCTGCATGTGCCTCCTGGCTGTTAACTGCAAGGCAGCCACTTAGCGTTGTCAGTCTGAAACAGGAAGTGCTGTCACTGGCGGGATCTCCAGGTAAGAAACTTTGTAACAGATTCACAAAAAATGATTTGCTTAAGGAAACTGTATACAGTGAAGCATGACGCCAAACATACCGAAAAATAGATTTGGGGTAACAGATGTGACAAGAATGACAAATTTACAGTATTTGTTGTTCTTTACATAAGAATGTGAATATGTTCAGCTTTATACAAATATCCTTCCCAATGACTGTTCATGTTTTAAATGCTGTATGGGCCCATTCACACTGGTGCGATGTGTTAGTCACATGGTTACGTGCAATTATTGCAACCTACTGCGTAACACACCTACCGTGCGTTAACAGTGCAGGAAGTGCATTGCGTTGCCATTCATTTGAATGGCACCCCAATTGCAACTCCCACCCGCAATGCATTTGATCACACCGGAATGTGCAGGACCGCAATAACATGCATTGCGGTGTGATTAAAAAAAGCAGTGCATGTAATACCGTGCATTGCGGTTTATTTATAAAAAGTAGTGCACGCACTACTTTTTTAATCACACCACAACACACGGTATTGGGGTACCGCACGTTGCAGCACGATCGAGCACATTGCGGGCAGGGGGGCGCATTTGAGGTGCCATTCAATTGCATGGCAGTGCAACACACTTCCCGCACTGTTAACACATGGTAGGTGCGTTGCTCGGTACGGTGCGTTCATCGCACGGAACCGTGTGATTAACACATTACATCAGTGTGAATGGGCTCTAAGTGTTCTTGTGTCTAGTTTGGATACACATATGCATGGGGGCAGACATATTTACTTACTGTATGTACATGCAGTGCTTTCTACTGCACAGGCTGCACACTGATTGTGCTTTTCGGTTCCTCTTTCATACAAGTCTATAAGCCTGCTGGGACTAAAAGTAGTACAAATAGCAGGTGTTCTATCCTGTCATCCCAGCACTTCTCTACAAGTGCTAAGGGAACCTGTTAGAGTTGCACTTGTAGGACGAGCCACTAGAGGGAGCACCAGCATCTCTCTACACAAAATACATTTATGAAAATATAGCAGCAAGTGCTGTATAATAAGTCAATGAATGGTCCAATCAGCGAGTGTGATCAACCAATCAGGGAATGACCCAGAGCAACCAATCTGATTTTAGTTCATGAAGTCAAGTTTGTAATTAGTTACTGCTGGTTACTACAATTGCACGATGTGCAATGCGTGTGAAGCAAACCTGTAACATATTGTAAGAATCCATGATGTAAGGAAAGAATATATAAAAAATGTTGAACTTTGGCTATGTTCAATGTTAAGGTTCATCCTCCATATCAGACAAGCCTGAACTGGCTGTATATCTGCATTCCTCTAGGTGAATGTAACTGTATGTGATCACTGTTACTACCTGCAGTGAGGAGAAAGTGATCTCACCGCACATACCAAATGGAAACATAGGAACGTGCTTCCTCTCACATCTCTACTCTGCAACGGCAGACATGTCAGAATGGGTCACACGCTGCCTTCCGACATCTCCGTTTTTGCCCACAGCCAGTTTCCTAAATTAAATTACATTAGAGACCCCAATCCATTGTATAGGCTAAGGATAGGCAACCTCGGCACTCCAGCTGTGGTGAAACTGCAAATTCCATCTTGCTTCTGGGAGTCGTGCCTGTGGCTGTCAGTCTTGCAATGCCTCATGGGATTTGTAGTTCCACAACAGCTGGAGTGCTGAGGTTGCCTACCCCGAGCCTATACAATGTAATTTAATTAAGTAAACTGGCTGTGGGTCAAAACAGAGATGTTGGAAGGCAGCGTGTGACCTTTGGTATAGGCTTAAAAGGCTGAACTCTGGGCAGATATAAAAGACAAAAAAGTAATGCAGCTCTGTAATCATTAATGCATCATTAAATGTATTTTTTCAATGCAAGCAGTGTAAATACCTGAATAGGTATTAGCCTATTGTTGTCCCTGCAGACAGTAGAGTAGGAGTGTGAGACTGAGGATGAAGAAGCACAAGGAGTCAATCAGTTCATGTGCTGACTTTAAGCATGCTGATAGGAGCTCATCACTGCACTGCTTCTCTTTTCACGGTCTATGGTGGGTCCGGGACATCCTGGGCTCAAAATAAATGGTTTGAATGGTGCTGGACATCAGACCGAGGACTGAGGAGTGGCAGAAAAAAAATCCATGTCTTTGTTTACCAAGCAGTACATGCTTTCAGGGCTTGTATACGCATAATGGATTGAGAGAGGACAGACTGGTGGGAATAGGCTAGGAAACAAAGAAGGAACTGTGTTGATATGCAAGTCTACCTGCCCCACACATACACCTAAATTATACTGGTGGGTTTTTTTGGGGGGGGGTCCACTTTAAATGTTTAGATTCGCTAGAAAGCTGTTGTTACACTTTAATTGGTAAGCATCCCAATTGTGAAATGTGACTTAAGGATTGTCCCCTCAGCTGGACAGAAACTCATTTTAAGCTCACTTTGCGTTTCCCTTGCAGGTGGTCTCCCAGAAATGCCCATCGGAATGTGGACGTTGCAGACAAAACCCACCCAGGTGTGCCCCCAATGTACCAGTCATATTAGATGGCTGTGCCTGCTGCCCTGTGTGTGCTCGACAGGATGGGGAGAGCTGCTCTGAAGTGTACCCTTGCCAAGAGGGGCTATTCTGTGATTTCAGTGCCGATGTAAGGACCGATGTTGGCATTTGCATGGGTAAGTCAAGCCTGTTAAAACCAATATACAATAGCTGCAAACCTTTTACTTAACAAGGGGAGGCCAATGTGCAGAGTTCAGTGACCCCCAGCAGACAGTGAGCACCTTTCTCTGATGACTCAATACTTCTTAGCTGAAATATCTGTAGAAAGCCACTAGAGGGAGCTCTCGGTGGTTTCTTGCAGTTACTATGTCTCTCTTTGCAACTGTTGAGATAAGACAGCCACAAAGGGGGTGCATTGCTTTAAATAAGTCAGCTGACCCATTATTTGTACTTTAATTCTACTTTTTTAAGTTTTAAGTCTCTGTTTCTATTTATGGTATATTTGGTATTAAACATAGCGCCAACTCATAGACTTGCTTTGTGAGAAAAAGCAGTAATACACACGCATTGTGTAGCATTCTAATTTTTAAACTATTTTATATTTATTTATATTTTTATATTTATAAAAAAATTTTAAAAAAATAGGCTGCTTATTGTACAAATATATAACTATAACCTATACATAGAAACAAGGTTTTTTTGAACAATAACACATATTTTCAAGTAGTAGAAAATAATGTTTTCACTTGGTTCTAGATCCAGTTAAAATCTTCTTTACTTATTCAAGGCACAAAACTACATATAACAGTCCAGTTAACGCGTTTCAGCCAAAAGAGGCTTTAATCCTAGCTATCATTAAGGCCTCTTTTAGCTGAAACACGTTAGCAGGACTGCTATGCCTGGTTGTATGCCTTGAATAAATTATGAAGATTTTAACTGGATCCAGAATCATGTGCAAACACTGTTTTCTACGGTTTATGATGAAGGGCTGGTGGAAGTCTTGGTTGTGCCCCGATGTTCTCTGGAACTGCATTGGAAAAGGTAGAGCATTGTGAGCTTACCACATATTCATAAGATTAGCTAGGCATCAAGTTATTCTTTTTCTGTTTCTCTAAAATATCCTTTAAAATACTATGTATTCCCTTAAAAATCCACCCCTTTATTAGCAGGGTAATAGTCTTTTACTGAACACTTATGGATTTGGTAGTATACACTGATGGGTCCAGTACATAACTGTATTTCTTCTTATTTCCCTTCATTCTCCAGCTCTGGAAGACGACAAGTGTGTGTTCAATGATGCTGTGTATCGCAGTGGTGAAACCTTCCAGCCCAGCTGTAAATATCACTGTACATGCCAGGACGGGCAGATCAGCTGCGTTCCCAGATGCAACAATGACCTCCTGCTGCCCAGTCCCGAGTGCCCCAACCCAATCAAAGTCAAGGTGCCGGGCGAGTGCTGCGAGAAGTGGATCTGTGACTCCAAAGAGGAGGTGGCGATCGGCGGCTTTGCAATGGCCGGTGAGATGCTCAGTAGTTCAACACTTATTTCAAATATTCCTTTAAGTTCATTATGGAATCTCATAATCCTTTAACGGTGTGCAGGGAATAATTCACCTGGATACACTAAGTAGTTTATGTAGAGGTTTACTAATGCATGGTAAAGTTTCAGAACTGGGTTCAATTGTTAAAGAAGGTTATCTAAACCCAATATATAAAATTGTATTTTATTTTGACCTAGTGATCCAGCCAGTAACACACTTCCTGTCTTAGGGTGGCTCCACACTGTGGAGGGTCAATGGAGTCACCTTTGGATGACAGCATTGTCACCCTGTGAGGAGGATAGTGTTCGATGGACTAATAGATTTGGGTGGACTTGACTAACAACAGTTTTTGTTTCTTTTGGGGAAACGTTTTTACATAAATGAATAAAATCTGACCATTGTAAACACCTCTGTCAGTGTTAAATGGTTTGGCCCATCCCTCTATCTGACACTTTTGAGGCTTTACAGCTTTGCCTGGAAGTTATAAAATAACAGACTTACTGGCCGGATAAGAAGATAAAAAATAAAGGAAAGAAAGATTAAAGGAGAAGTATTGGGAGAGTAAAATGTACCCTTCCCAATAGTTTACACTGCAGCTGTCACACGCCGGATCAATAGCTCGAGAACCGAGCGATCACAAACCACTGATCACTCAGCTCATGTCTTCTCCCTGCAGAAAGTCACTCTCAGTCACCCTGCAGGGATTACCTCCTCCCCTCTTTGTTCCACCAGCGCTCTGGGACAGACAGGGGAGGGGGCGAGTACAGCTGGCTCTGGCTCTAGAGATTCAGAGCCAGCTGTCAATCAGGCAGTGGGTGGATCCTGACAATATTGTCGGGATCTTTCCCAGCTGCAGCGTGGTTCTGCATTGTCAGCTTACAACGGGCTATATGCCCGCTATATGCTGACTTTGGGTCACAAGACCTGTGACCCAAAAGAGAACTAAAGCCAAAAAAGATTTGGCTATAGATCTTCTTTAAAGAAAACGAATGCAGCCACCACGTCTAAGGACTGGTAAGCGGCAATATAGATTGAATGTTTGCTTTTGGGTTTAGATACGCTTTAAGATTTGTTTTAACTTATTTGCCAAGCGTTCCACTTTAATACGGCAATATCTGTTGTGGTATCTCACAGCTTACAGACCTGAAGCCACTTTAGGAGTCGCTGTGCCTGACATGGGCGCCAACTGCATTACACAGACAACGGAGTGGAGCGCGTGTTCCAAGACTTGTGGTGTCGGTCATTCATACCGGGTGTCAAATCGCAATCATCGATGTGAAATGCAGAAGCAGATCCGCCTGTGTATGGTGCGACCCTGCGAGGAAGAGGAACAGGCCCTTCTTGGAAAGGTAATAGTGGATAGTACCATTTAGATTGTAAGATGTATATCAAGGCAACATTAATATTACTGGACCACATTTGTTTTAGCAGAAGGCACTATTTTATGCAGCGTTTAAGGAAGAGAGTTGGGGGCCACATAGAATAAGCAGACCTTGCCTAAAGTGTAACTGCAGTCACATTTTTGTTGTTGTTGTTTTGGATGGAGTGAAAAAGATTAGAACCCATATTGAGTTCTTACTGCTATCCGGGCTCCATTAGAGAGTTTACCCCCACTTATTATCTTATTGAAAATTTTTTACCACACAGGAAGTAAGGGGATATTTCAAAGGGTTGAGCTCAGGTTTTGACCAAACTTGAGTTCCTCTTGAAGCAGAAGGAAGCCCTCCTGTTGCCGCCCAAACAGCTGTGGTTGGGGAATTCCCCTGCCGCAGCCGCACATGAGCAAAGGAGCAGGCTGCTGTGACGTTATTGATCTTACAGGGCCACATGGCTAGATCTGGTCAATAACATTTACCTAATACGGCCAAGTGGCCATGTAAGGTCAATGATGTCAGCACAAGCATCCTGCCCATTTATTCATGTGTAGCTGTGGCTGGGGAATTCCCCAGCCACAGCTGTTAAGGGGGCAACAGGAAGAGCTTCCTTCTGCATTGAGAGGAACTCAAGTTTGGACCTGGTCCCGTCCGAACCTGAGCTCAACCCTATTGGAAAGATCCCCTTACTTCTGTCTGGTATAACATTTTCAATAAGACAATAAGTTGGGATCAACTTCTCCAATGGGTCCTCGGATAGCAGTAAAAAAAAAAAATATGGGTTCTAATCCTTTCCACTCCATCCAAAACGATGAAAAAAGTTTTGACTGCATTTACAGTCGGGAATACCCCGACCCGGTTTCAGGGAAGCTCAGGTTCTCAATGGGTTTGGTCCATACCTGAACTCATCCCTACTCACCCACAAAACTACAAAGGCTTTTCTAGGGGAAGATCAGCACCCTACCATGAAACCATTGTTACCAGGACAGAAAGTCAGGGAAAATCTAATGGAGCCCCAGAGAGCAGTAAAGTTGTAAACCTTCCACACGCTAAAAAAAAAAATGTTCCCGTGACGTACACTTTAAGACATCTGTAATATTAGTAAAAAATAAAACTTACTGTGTAAAGAAATATGTGCACCCCACTAACAAAATAGCTTTCCTTCCTCTGTTACAGGATGGAAAAAAATGTGTGAGGGTGACAAAATCTGAAAAACCCATACGATTCGAATTCAAAAACTGTGTCAGCGTCCAGAGCTACACCCCCAAGTTCTGCGGCAGCTGCAGAGATGGCCGATGTTGTACACCGCACAGCACCAGGACCGCCCAGGTGGAGTTCCAGTGTCCCAATAACCGAGTCATGAAAAAACCTGTCATGTTCATTAACACCTGCGTCTGTCATTACAACTGCCCACGAGACACTAGCCTCCTCCAGACAGACAACGCCATGTTCCCGGGCCTGCGGAGACCATTATAAGGACGACATTCGTTTTCTAAGTTCCAAACTCCAAGCCGTGGAATAACCAATGAACTTTTACATGGTATAAATGTACAGCCGGTGGGAAGAAAGAGAAAGTGGCGAAGAAAAGTGTAACTGTAACATTTTTATACTTGCCGCATATTTAAAATGAGTATTAATTTAAGGAGGCAAAAAGAAATCACAGACTGTTTTTGGATGTTTTTTAAAACTGTAAATACGGTAATTTAAACAGAATATTATAATTGATGTGACTTAGTTTTGATATTGGTCTACAATGTAAAAAGTCAATGTAATGTTTTAAGAAATAGGGAACATATAAAGTCCAAGTGACATGGACTCTGTAATAGAAATGATGGGGGGTATTTATAAAACTGGACAGATGCTGTTCATGCACCACTAGTGCCACTAGTTGGCGCTGATGAGCATAGGAATTTCTTATAGTGCTCAGCGCCACCTAGAGGCGCTAGTACCATGCAAACAGCATCCACCCAGCTGATTTATAAATAAATCCATGTGTGTTAAAGACCAACTCCAGCCACAACGTTAGTCCTAGATGATGTAAGCCCTCACGGGCAGGGTCCTCTTTACCCTCTTTTCTTGAATTGTATTGTGATTGTAATGTCTTCCTTTTATTGTAAAGTACTGCGCAAACTGTTGGCGCTATATAAATCCTGAATAATAATAATTTGTGGTCCAAGCCTGGCCACGACATGTGTGACTCCCTATGCCCCATGGCCTGAAGTGTGCCTTGGCCGTCTAGGACAGTATGCCTAAAAGGGGGCATACCCAGTGACCTGAAATGGAAAGAAGAGGGTATGGGCGGGTGGGGATGCCCGGAACCCGCCGATGTATGTGCACGGTAAGCTGTCTTAAAGGCCAGTCTCCTCCCACAAATCCAGGCCAACCAATGGCCAGCCTTCATACATAACAATAATGTAAGAGAGGGTTAGAACGTCTGCTCCAGTTCAGAAGATTCTTCTATGGGATTTTTAAACACTGTCTGCGTCAGAAAATCGGGGGAAATCTCCCTCATGGGAACATAGATAGCACTGAAATCCTGACAGATGTTCTACATAATCCTCAGATTGTGAGGAAAAACATTGTTATTGCTGTCAGTGACCACACTATTATATCCTTATACTTTTTGTTCGGTCTGACATCATCAACCATAACAGTATGTTTTTCCTTACTTCCTGTTTTGACTGATACCGCTCGAATAGACAGGAAGCAATGAGAACTTTTCCAAACAGGAACCTACACCCAGAATCCCTGCTCTATCACTGCTGAGATAAGATACCAGTCACACGGGGAGTGCATTGTTTTTAATGAGTCGGCCGACTCATAGACTTGCTTTGTGAGAAGCTCCATCTGGTGTCTGCAAATAAATATAAAATGTCCACAAACATTCCTTTATATTTACTGGACAACAAAAAACATTTTATACATGATTTTTTTTTTTGTCCTAAACATATTAAGGAAAGAAAGAAGACATAAAGTATACAATTACACTGCAAGTTCCCTTTAAGTGGGTTTCGTAGACTGACAGTTCAGCAATGCCATACTGAGTTGTGTGCTGGGAATTCGGCTGCCAGATTATAAAGACTTTGTAAAATACTTGTGTATATTTTTGTGCCTTTTTTATTTTGTTGTACAGTGCAAAAATATATTTTTTTTAATAAATCAAATTGTGTTATCTCCTGAGTCCGGCTTCTTTTGTGCCACTTTGTAATATGGGACTATTACTAGACATGAAAGCTGAGGAAAAATTTGGTTCAGTTTGAATATTTCGTTATTTTCGGGATTTGGATCCGAAATTAAATTCAGTTCCGGTTTTGGACTAAATCCGAACTTCATTAGTTTCAGATGAGTTTGCGAATATTCATTGCGAATACCACAAAAAACCCATACACAGATATCAATATTAAAGCTGAGGCTCCCAGACCCGAATGCCATTCAGGAGCTCCCAAATGCAATTCGGAAATTTGGATCCCGAATGCCATTCAGGTCTGGGAGCTTTAGTATTTGATGTATATACTGTATATGGCTCCCATGTTGCTGTAACGAAAATTTGTGTTCAGACCCATTTGGATGCATTAAACCGAAAAACACATCTGATTGGCAGAAAAGTCACATGTCCGATCCAGTTTAGTTTTTTGAACAAAATTCGGACAGGATCTGAAATTTGGAAAAGGAAATTCGGATTCAGACACATTCGGATGCATTGGGATTCGGAAATTCATACAAATTTTGATTCCGAACAAAAGGAATCGCACATGTCTAACTATTACGATGATCCGGTCTTGACAGTTGGCCCCCAGACCTCAGGCATTGTTTTCTTCCAGGGAGTAGGCAGGCTGCTCCAACCTTTAAAAAGAATTCTAGGAAAAAAATGTATTAACCCTTGCACTGGGCTACCCCAGCACTGCAAGGGTTAACTGCTCGTTTTAGTCCAGGGAGGAAAATAAAAAAGTTATACTCACCCAATTCTCTGAGCCGGCTTTCTCTTAGACCAATCCTTGGAGCCTCTCTCACCCGCAGCTGCAGTGGTCTCAGGTCACTGAGTCATCACATGCTATACCCAGTGTATAAGACGAGAAGACGTCGAGGGACATACCATCACTGCAGCGGAGGACAGAGGTTGGAGGGAGCGCTGTCACAGCCGGCCGTCTAAGACATTCTGGTGAGTATAACTTTCTTACTTCCCTAGACGAGCACTTAACCCTTGCAATGCGGGGGTAGCAAACAGCTGCCAAAGCCACACTGCCTGGAGTCACCCAAAGCAGCTAGGTAAATAGCAACTCTCTCATGGTCTCCATTTGCATAGCCACGCCTCCAGCGGGGTAATGCTGATGGCTGCCGATGAATATGGAAGTTTCACTGTGTGATGCAGGAAGGGGATGTGCTGATTCTTTACTACCCAGAAGTGAAAATGGTGTAATGGGTATCCTTGGTGGCTCTGAATAAAACTTCGGGTAGTTTGGCTTTGTGCTGCATATCAGATGTCAGTATTTTTAGTGGCCTCTCCCCACCTCAACAAAATGCTTTCTTATTTCTTCCTAAGTCCTTGCCTAGGCGAGAATAATGTAATCACTGCCCTCCCATTGCCTCCTGGGATACCTATGTTACATATGTCAGGAGGCATTACTTTTCACAATTCACAAACTACTGCGATATTACAGGCTTACAGACTGGCAGCATGGAAACAAAGACACAGCGCCTGATCTATGGCTGCTCAAGTGCACATATGGATCATAGGAAATAAATATATGTAAGTAACGAGATACAATTCAAGAGAACGCTAGAGAGAAATGTAATCCTTGCTATTACCATAGTAACAATGGTTACATTTATAATCTTATTCCCTCCAGCCATCTCTAGAATTGAAACATTACAGTATATCTCAATACTAACACATTTATTTACTATCATCCTTAGCTCCATCTAGTGGTCATAATGTGGTATTATCCCAATTCACTCTATTCTGTAGGAGTTAGCCTTTTTTTAAAAACATTCGACTGGAAAAGAAATAACATTAAGAACACCCATTTTTACCCCATTCCTACAATAGCTGGTTAACTCACACAACAAATGTACATGCACTTTCACTGAACGAATACACTATGCAGGTTTGTTTTTTGGTGTTTTTTTTTTTAGAAATAGACCCTCAAAGGGCATGTGAATTTCTCCTTGTTGCTCCTTTTTGGCCTGTTAAAATAAACCAATAAAAGCTTGTCATTATATCTGTCTGATAAGAATAAAAACCTACCTGTTGAACCTGCCAGATATCTAGAGAGCCTATTAACTTGGTGTGTTCTCTGCCTTTGCTGACTGTTATCAGTTAGCGTTGGTCTCAGCTGTCAATGTGGACTACAGGACTATGTCATAGACATGGGGAGTGTGGGAGCCGTTCCTAAAATACTTACACTGCTATTCACTAAACAGTGAAGAGTTTGGAGAAGGCAGGATAAGTAAACAATATAGGACAACATAGCTGAACCAGAACGTGAGCCGAATGTGAGAATTTTTCCAAATCAGCTATGTTGTCCTAGATTGTTCACTTCTTCAGATAGGCCTGGAGCCAGGAAACAAAGGTAGAATGAATGGAAGGCCTACATGCAAGGGTAACCTGGACAGGAAGAGGTTAAAAAAAAGGTAGAACATAAGGTAGTGGATGGGCTCTTACTGGTTTGGGCGAATGAGATCGGCTAGGAGGGTCTTCGGAGGAGGAGTCACACAGATCCAGTTGGAGATCATCAGATAAGCGGTGAGCCAATGGAGTTGTTTTTCGTGTGGATTGGATTGACTAGTCATGACAGTTGCTTGGCGGTTTGGATCCCTGAAGGCATTTTTGGCTGCAGGTGATTTTGATAACTTAATGGGGACCCATCTCCGGTGTGGGTGTCCTCCATGTGGTGAAGTCCAACGACTGTGACCGGGCAATAGGGACCAATGTGGGTCTGCGGTCAATTAATAACATCCTGAGGCGTTGTATGGCGGCTGGGGGCATCAGGTACAAAATATGTCATCAGATGCAAAAACAATTTGTGGTTCATAGTGCCTTCAAGGACCTGAAACCTGAGATTTTATACATTCTGGTTATTTGGTGCTGTTGGTTATTTATAAATGTTATTTATAATGGTGTTGTTAATAAAAGACTGCTGTGGCCATTAAACTCCCATGGTGTACTGGTATTATTTAGTACAGGGGAGGATTTGGGGAGATTACATGGTAAAAGGGGTTTAAAGTAAGGTGACCAGATTTTTAAAATTAAATCCGGGGACATTTATTTTTTTTATTGGCAAATGGTAAAAAATACAATTTTATCAGCATATTTTCTTCAAATTATATAAGCAGTGTATTTGGTATACACCAAATAATGTCCCCAGAAATATATTTAAAAAAAAAAAATATATATATACTTACCGGATCCCTGGATCCACCGACGAGCGCAGTCTCCCTTCTCCCATGCTGTCAGAAGCTGCATACAGCACGCGCTGGTTTAAACAGTAACCGGTGTGCGCTGTATGCAGCTTCTGACAGCGAGGGAGAAGGGAGGCTGCGCTCGTCGCTGTATCCAGGGATCA